AATCCATCTCCACTTTTTTCCTCTGTATATTTGTTCGGCGATGGGTTCTTGGTTGTCTCGTTGCCAGGTCAGAGCTCCTTGTTGCTTATTCTTATTATTCTGGCCATCTGATCTCCATCTTCAGTATCAAGTGAGCGTAGACGGTAGCTGTTCATGTATTTCCGCAGTTTGTTGGAAATGCTTTTCGTAACGCGCCAAGCTTCTGAAACATATAGAAGTACTGACTGGACTGACATTAGTGTTAACAATCCGGATCTTGTTCACGCTTTACGCTGAGTCCAGTGCAGTGGAGCAGATCTCTACACTGATTATTTCAGACTAATGCAGGAAGGCCTGTCTTGCTGTCCTTCTGATCCTGGTCTCCACATCCTCATCTGCGCATGTGCCGCCTGTAGTTGAAACGATGCTCTCTAGGTGGTATGTGAGAGGTAACTTCGTTTAAATTCCTGCCGTTGATAGTGAATGGTGCTTGTTGTTGGTGGTGGTGGTGGTTGGGTATCTTCATCACCTGTCTTCTCTACGTTCACCTGAAGGAAGTCCCATCGTCCTTCGCCGCTTGCCTGTTCTGCTAAATTGTTGATTTTCGCTTGTAGATCTTCGAGTTTATGTCCTACATTGGACATAAGTTATCATCGGCGAAATCCAAGAACTTGTGTTTTATCATTTTGACTATCTGAAACAGTCATGATTCGGCAGATTTGTATCATTCATTGTGTCATGATCGAAGGTGGAATGCAAATTCGGACCACGGCCGGATTCGAACCACCGGGTTTTTGGCCTGATGCTCTATCAACTGAGCTACGAGGTCCGACTGCAGACCAGAATCTTTTTATTTCACTTCAATCACCAAGGGTTTTGCCTAACCCACCATATGAATTCGTGGGGCGTTACTATCGCTTGATCGTACTCACACTGGCTCACCAGTTAGGACTTCCCATTCCGATGCAGATGTGAGTTAGAGGGGAGGAGGAGCATCATAATGATTATCATTTTGACTATCTGAGATAGCCGTAATCTGACAGACTTGTGCTGTTACTGGGTCCGAACCCCGCCATAGTTCAAATTTTCACTCAGTCACCATCCAGTGTCAATTTTTGGTTTAACAAGGCAAAGGCTTGTTATCTGCTCAATGCTGTTCATTTCGACTTCTTAGGTTTATGTCTCCGAAGGAAACATTCATCAATTTCACCCATATTACCTACTCCACCAAATTTCATACCTTACCTGCAACATACTCGTCGTCATAATTCATCAGACGTTATGCAGCGTAAACAACACAGTAGACGGACGTGCCGGATGACTTTGAATAAAGCAACTATAACCTCATTAACCTGGAATCTAGTGACTGTACTGTAAATCTTTGATCATCCTGTCTAATATTCACCTCTTCATTATCGATTACTTTACTGTAGTATTGCACTGCAAATCTAAGATTAAGTAGTTACTTAACTTACTTGCTGGAATGACAATATGTTATTGAATAGTGAAACCTCCTAACTGAATTAATGTACAGCTCATTAGTGACTAGCTTTGAGAGGTAATTCCCGAAGTTCTAATGAGGAGTCGCAACCGGTGGGGCCAACCAAGTTGTATATGAGGACAGACACCACGGGACCTGAAGGCCATAGGTCCCTGGAAGGCTGTGGTAATGGGTAAGCACTACTGAGGAGTCTGACACTGAGACGAAACGGCTGTTATCCAGTGCTCTCAGGTTTCCAATGTCTCTCCAGTTATTTTCATTCAATGTTGAATACCAACCGAAAATTAACTGTCAGTGTTTTGTGTATAACACTTTTGTTATCATTAAAAAAGCTGAATTAGAATGCATTCACAACAAGAAACTGACATTCCTAGATGTTTCAGTCAACAGAATTAACACAGGAGTATTGGAGACTCAATGGTGCTGAGAGCCAACACATACTGATTAAATTATCAATTCTACAGTAACGAAAAACACCCAATAAGGCGCGAAATTAGTTGCTGATACACGAAATTCAAAAGAGTGAAAATGCACCACTGTACCACAACTTCAGGGAGAAACAAAGAACATCACTTGATGTCTGCTCTCTAACGACAAACAGTTAAGCGCATAGCTTCGTCAGAACATGACTGTCTAGTTCATCATCATCTGAAAAGTCATCCGTGTAGGTCAGCGAACAAATCATTCTTCTGTAATAAACAAAATATCAAAGGTCACAACAAGACTAATCAGGTTCATAGAGCAACAACAAAAAGCCAGTGCGATCAGCACTACATTGGACAAAGTGGTCGCTCTCATTGCCTTCGTTTACATGAACACCAATTGGCTATTAAACTCCAAGATATTTTGTTGCTCATACTATGCGGCTAACTGTAAACATGAATTCACCTGTGAAAATTTGGTGATCTTGAAAAGAAGAAACACAAAAAATACCAGAGGATTATTAGAAGGCTGGCATTCAGGTCAGTCAGCAATCAGTAGGTGTATAAATATAGATGGAATCAATCAACCAATCAGGAAAACGATAGACTACCACAAGGTCAGAAGTCAGGTAAGAAAACGACCAATAGGAAAACCTAAGCAGCTGAACGAAACAGCCAATCACAGACTATTTGGTCAGGGCGAACTACTAAGTCACCCACGGATATACACAGATAGCTCTCTTCATATTGAAGTTAGTGCCGATGATGTTGCTGAGTGAAACAATGAAAGCTTCACGATTAAATCATTCAGTTCAGAGAATGCAACACTCCAAGATAAGTTTATTGAAGATATTCTCTAATTTCATCACCTGTGAGACCTATAAAATTTAAGAAGTGAGGAGGAAAGCGCTGTCAGATGCTGATGCGTTAAATCATGAAATTTATTTATCACGTCTTCATCCAATAATTGCTTGGGTAGGCAACACCTCTGACACAGCCTTTTGATTGGATAACAAGAGTTGAGCATTACTGGTTAGTAGTCTGGTCTGTTCTTCTATTTGGTTTTGAAATGTAGTCATTAAAAGCGTAGGACAGAAGAAAATTTCAGGCATTCGATCTTTGTTGCCTTTGTAGCATAGACGGTGAACCGTTGGACCGCTATGCGAATTAAGCGTAGATTTTGATACAGAAGAGATACATCCGTTGATATAGTTGTCAACTTTCGTTCATTCAGATGGCTGAAACGTGTTTGTTTGTGTATGTGTGTGTGTGTATTACACATACCTAGTCATCGCCTATCCTGATGCGCGATGTTAGCTTAGGTAACTTCGGTTTGCACGAAAGGTTAGCATGGTATCACTTCATGCAGTCTCTCTGACTGTAAACCTGAGCGGTATAGGCTAATGTAGAATTTCCAGTTAGCTTACGCTTGACAGCTGAAATTAGTGGTTGGCGACTGTAGATGATATGACTCAGAATCATCCACAAATTATCTTTACCGTAATCATCATGTCATATTTCCTCTCTTCATATGACTTTATGACTTTTGCTTCCGTTCGCTTTGCATACTTCAGTATATTTCATCTTACTGCCTTTTTTTATCTTAATGTAGAACCATTTTGCAGTAATCCCAAGTCTTGTGCTTCAATTCCCTGACTAACTAACTGACTGACTAAACTTGTGAGAACTGATATTCCAGGTGAGACAGTCGTGCTTTTAAACCCTCATCAACAAGTTGTATCTGTGACCTCGACGAGGTCATCCAGGGCTTCCTGCCGATTATCTCCACCCAACTAACATCTAACAAACTATATTGCGATGTTAAATCTTTTAACCTGATGGACAGATTGCAAAACATTCGATAGAATTCTATGAGCACATAGGGGACTAGACAACATGAAGTTGTTTACCCTCCAGTATTGACTAATAAATGTATAAATCGAAAACTGTTCAACCCAATCACTGAATTATCATGAACCTGGGAGCAATCAACATGTGTTTTATTCTAATTTGAGATGCTCAAACTGTGCCCCACTCAGAACCCCATGAAATATCGAACTTTGGACCGATAGATCCCTTAGAGAACACCTCACATACTATCAGTCCACTGGTCCAGTGTTTCCAACTTCTGTCTATTCGCGATATAGTGTAACCAGTATCCAACACTATTGACCAGTTTTCCTCCTCTCATCCCCGATTTTCGAGGCCCCATCGGTCACGGTTTCCAATTAGTACTCCAATATATCAATCCACAAGCAAATTAAAAATGCCATGCTGATGGCCTTTAGTGAGCTTAAACTAAACTTTTAGCCATCTATAAAGAGTGACTTTAAAGGCCACCCTAGTAACTACTGAATAGACCAATCGAGTTTCGTCATTTTTCCATAGAAAGTTCTTTTCTATAAATAAAGGAATGTAATTGGTGGTGGTCTTTAAAGTCATCCTCGCTAAATCAGCGTGCGGGTTAATGCGCTCTACCTTGATTGGTTGTTTGAGAACGATAGAGAGTCAGTTGTCCTTGAAATGCTTTATCTGGATAGGTTAATCCAATGAACTGGTGAACTTCCTATTCGAAATAACCATCCTTAGTTAAAAGAAACCAACCAATCAAAAAGACAACATTCACTTCATCTAGTCAGACTGATATCACGTGATTTATTTGCCCAGGCTATAGAAGCATAAATAGCGAAATATGATTCGCTAGTATATAAACGTATATATTCATCAGAAGAATATATCAACCAATCACATAACCATGTCCCTCCAACGCACCAAAATGTAATACACACCAGCCAATCAGATTTCTATTACAACCACACACTTGAAATTCAACGAACTGAGGAAATATTGCACATATTAAAATAAGCGTATCTTATCTCAGTTTTAGACAACTTGTCTTGATTTGATTGTCTAGTCTGATAGTGTGACTTGGACTGACTGGGATAGAAATAATTTTCATTGATTTTGACGTTCATTACTAACTCACAGGTAAGTTTTGTGGGCTTTTCTTTAGAATAGGATGTACTGAAATAGACAGAAGCTGTGAAAATTCACCTTTACAAGAATTTTTCTTTCTTGCTTATTTTGCTATCTATCAGCTTTGTTATGCGTTCCAATCAATCCTCCAAGTGGTGATGGTGTCGTCGATTATCGTTTTCGTACAAATCAAAAAACGTCACATACATTTGCGTATGCTGAAGTCTTCTGTCCATCTGATCGTTGGTTGGAGCCAGTCGATCCAGGATTGGATGATGCTATTTCCGAAATTCATCAATCTAATAGTAATGAGGATAAAACTAGTAAGCCATGGTGGTTAGAACGTAGAAGGCATATAACATTGATCTGTGACCATCATGAACGTAAATGGAGTTCAAACAGGCTACCAGAAGCCTGCTTAACATGTAAGTCGGTTGATATTTGTGATAGGGACCAGGCTGAAGACTTGTCATCCTTCTAGACAATATCTATCTACCCAGTTATTTAACTCTGATGTTGAATATTTATCTAAGCATAGCGATGTATCTGTCCTATCATACGTAAAGTGATCGAAAACAGTGAAAAGTGCTATTCATAGACTAATCATTAGCTGTGAAACCATTGATTTATCAAGAATGATGTTTAATCTAGGATATTAGGTGATAAAATTCAGTTTTTTTCTTCAAAGATTTTTCTAGATGTAAAAAATAGAAATTTTACAAACATTATTTCGCGGATAATAAATTGTCTAGCTGTCGGATATCAATGGTCGATCAAAGTCTACAAATCAAACTTGCAATATGACCGTGAAACTGAATAACATGATATTCGAGTGTACCCTGTCCGTTGTGTTAGGTATTCGGAATCAACCAACAATAATTCGTACTATGGATGGGTTTTGTAGTTGCCAGGACTCATCATTTTGTTGGTTAGTTACTGGAGAGTAACGAATTTCATGTCGTCTTGTCCTAAGCCCTGATGAGATTCTATCGACAATCTAGTAATGTAGTCACTAGATTCGAAGACTCAGCATCATACTGCACTTAGTTTGATGTTAATTGGATGGGTATAATCGCCAGGAAGCTCTGCTTGTGACCTAGACTTCATGCTTGTCGACACTTTTCAACAAGGCGTATCTACAACCTCTAGGTAATTTATGTCTACTGAGAATGGTACAGTCAGTGACATTATCAATGAGCTATTGGAGCCGCGATTGACATCCTGTAGGACTGGGTCACTTCGGGTGGCTTGGAATCTTCTCGAAGAGGAGCATATATCCTCGTGGCTATCTGAAAATGCCTAATTCAGTACCATAGTTAGGAACTTCAACAACAAGGTATTCAGGTTATGACCGATTTCCTATGGAAAGTTTTCCAGACATAAACTACTACGTAATCGTCAGTGGAGTTGATTGGCTTCTGCATAAAATCTTTGCAAACTTATGTTATTAGCAGGCAGGTGAATTTTGTAAAATTTGAAACTCCCAGGTTAAAGATGGCTGACTTCGTGTTTAGACTCGCTATGTGCTCACTGAGCAGAATACAGAATATTCTATAAAGATGAACTTGAAGTTTATTGATCCCATATGATATTATGACGTCTTTCTTGTTTACATTCTACTAAATAAATCGTTGATCTAGAAGTTTTGTGCTACAACATCTAAAGCATGGAAAATATGATGATGGTGATGATGATGAATAGTCTCAACAATTAGATCATGTATCTTCTAGCAGTACTAATGATGTCTTAGGCTGAGTTCTACCATCAGCGAACGTTTCATAATCAGTCGATGAACTGTCGTTAATGCAGCCACACACAACACGTTTCGTCTTACTATGAGACCCTCAGCAGTGTGTGGGCACGACTCAACGAGAATCGAGTCGGTCCAGGAATCAATCCCTCATGGGTTAACCATCGGTACAGCTGTACGATGCTTTCAGGTTTTTAATGGTTCTCCAACTGATTTCGACTCGTGAGTGGCACTGTGATGTACGCAACAACCCATGAGTTATGTCACATTGTTTTCGAGAAATCATTCCAAATGAATGGATCGTGGGTTCGAAAACATCTCCATCTAACAAAGTTTTGACGGTCGAGTAGTATCATTCGTTTTCACACAATAGATATGTACCTCGTTGCTTGTTGGGTGAATGTGCACACATTTGCTGAATTGATTTCTATTCGCTGCCTAATTAGTGAGACTACGGTGATCTCGAACTTAGTGACACAGTGTTTAGTAGCAGTCAAACGATCGAAGTAGTACGTCACACCTCGTTAAGTGGATGTAACCAGCTTCGTGAACAAGAAAAAATTATTGAATTAATGTAGCTTTCAACGGAACTATTGTTGCGTCTTTTTTCTCTACTAAAAGATATTCAGAAATGGATTGTCGAAATTTGTGTACTACATAAATATCTGGAGAGTTGTGAAGATTTAATAATTGATTTCAGGCTGGAAATCACCATGCATTGACATCAGTTGGAGGAATACTGGAAACATCGAACCACTGGATTGTTATTGCTTCCTAGTAGGGAACTCCTCAGCTGTGTGCACCCATGACCCTGCAATGGATCGAACACAGGACCTTCAGTTAAACCCCCATCACGTTACAATCATCATCATGATGGCGAATTCCAACCTGAATACAATTAATAGATCTCCTTAGATATCCAGCTTGAATTATTCTAGCGCTCATTGCGGAGTAACTTCCAACGGTGTTTCCCGAAGATCCAATAAGAATCATAATCTCCATCATGCCCCAACACATGTCGGCCTACCTCAGAATCGCTTACACGCTGTTCCCATCAGATACAAGCAATCATATGGAGACAGCGAGGACCGAACACACAGTCGTCGCACATCCTCAACTCAGAGAGGCCAGATTTCACAGACATAGAGGAAACCCGACCTGACCGTAAATCAGACTAATGTCATGACAGCAACATGGGTGGCACACATACGCAGACTCTACTCTTGTTTTCGATATGCAGTTGGAATTTTCATCACTCACATCTATACCAACAATCACACAACTACCTAGATACACGAAATTTTCGACCACTTCCTACAGTGATTACAGGCACAGGCTCATTCCAATCTCGCAAGAGTTCTTTGTACTTCGATGCCGAAAAGTACATACCACACATACGGACACGAATCACCAACTAATTAAGTGCGGCTTCAGCAACCTGTGTGTTATCGCACAGTAAGACGATATCGTTGTCATATTCAACGTCGAATGACTGTTCCCCAATTAGTGGATCTACAACACCAACATTCAACTGTTTCCGAGCTGTCTCAATGATGCCACCGATGACAAAGTTAGAGAGGAATGGAGGAATCGGATAACCCTGTCTATTTCCACTGCTGGTTTGGAACAATGAAGACAGGTGGTTGTATGCCCTCACTCTACCTGAAGTGTAGATAAATACGGCTTTCAAGATGTTAATAAGTTTCTCAGGCACGCCCATCTCCCACGGACATTTGCAGAGTTCATCTCCGTCCAACGAGTCGAAGGCAGTCCCTAATGTCAAGAAACACTACGGTTGTTAGCCATTTTAAGGATGGGCACAACGATGACTTCATTCCAGAGTGATGGAATACTCTCAGTCTGCCATACCTTCTCAAACAATCTAGTCAGTTCTCTAACTATAGTCGTTCATCCATCCTTAAAAAGAACCGACAGTGGGTTGTCTCGGATGGGTACCTTGTGACGTCACACAACTTGAAGTTCCTTATGGACCTCAACGTCGTTAAGTGATGGATCCGTGTTAACTGACCATGAAGCACAACACATTGAAACTGAGATGGTAGGGCCGTGGGCAAGTTTAACTGCTTTTCGAGGTGCTCTGCCTAGCATTCCAGGTGTCTTTGAAGATTGTTCATCGGCGTACCATCAACTTCAAAAGCTGTCTCACTGACACCTGGTTTCTTACTGCCAGTGGCTCGGATGAACTGTGACAACTTCCGACTATTGCCAGATGCAGCTGCTGCTTCCATCTCACTCGCTCATTCCCACTACAAAGCGTCATAGTTCATGGGTAAGTGTTGTTTAATCTATTGCATAAGAAACGCGAACCATTGTACTCGGTATACACTGGAATTGTCCGACGGGCTTCAAGAAGTTGTAGGGAACTCGCATAGATCCAGTGTTGATTGGCTTGATGTTCTTCTGAGCCACAAGCAGCTTTATTCACCATTTACATGGCATCTTGAAAGTGTAGTCAACGTTCATCTACACTTTCTGGAGGATCGGTAGTCAGCCTTAAATCTAACTGGGAATGGCATTAAGCTGCAATGTTAGGTGCAACTAAGTTGTTTGCATCGATTTGTTTAGGACTATGATTTGGACGACCACCAAAACGCAAGATGAACTCAGCACACACTAAAGCACTATCAGAGTCCAGAGAGGTACTTCACATGAAGCGGCAGTCCTATTTGAATCCACGCCATCGGCAGGTAATTGCAATACTATCTTTTTGAGTCCTGGCTTAAATGACAGAGGGAGGACGCCAAGTAGCACAATGGCGATAGCTGTGTCGAAAGTTGGTGCGACCTAAAAATAGGTTGTGATCTGTGCAAAGCTGCAGAAAACGATCCCTTTCATCCGACCTGCGGTCAACTGGTCCCCTTTATTCACTTAAACGACTCTGCTACGAGTCTAGATGCCTGACCTGCTCATTCAAGCCCCCAGCTAGCACCACGATATCTGTTGAGTGCACCTGGTCAAGAAAGTCACACACTTGACGATAGAATTCATCTTTGATTTCATCCGGGCTCCAATCTGTCGAAGAGTGGGTAGAGATGACAAAAAGACATCGTTTCTCTTGCTGGTTACTTCTTACTCATGATAAACATTTTAGCCTAACATCACATAGATGACTGTTGGTGGAGGAGATCCAGTCGAGTAGTGCAGCTTCAGCACGAGCGCTTAGTGTGACTGACACCGATACCAGCGAGGCTGGTCACCGATGCCACAGGGTCCTTGAATTAATGTACATAAAACATATTTTCCCAGCTGATAGATGGGTAATTAATTCGAAGCACTTCACTGGGATTTTGCATTCGGGTGTATGTGGGGTGGAGGTGGAGGTGGGGGGGGGGGGAACTGTTTAACGACTCAAAACGGTACAGACTGACCAGAAGTCTAAGTAGTGGAGAGCATCTGAGTGAAGTGAAGATAAAGACAAAAGCGGAAACGGTAATCAAAAAAAAAACAGTTTATATGTAAAAACAATATAATAGGAATAAACTGAGTAATCGGCTAAAATGTTCTCAGTTCGGAAGGCTTTAGTATTCTCAGGAACGTTGATTAATAACTTAGAAATCTTGTTTTTATATTGTAAATTCATAGTTCATATCTTATGTGATGGCTGGGATACTTCCCGGGTGTCGAGACCGAAGCAAATGGTTGTATTAGGGACCA